TCCATTTTCCATTCCTCCTTATTTCAGAAATGTGTTCCACAGAGGATTTTTTTGTAAATCCCCATCAATTAAAGCATTGCTCATCAGACTCAAGAAAGTTGAACAAAATTAGGTCACGCTTAAAGCAGAAGAACCTTAATGAGGTGGCTTAATACAGTGGTTCCAACAACAGACCCCAACATAGGAACAACTGTGAAGATGGCCCAGGCCTGGGTCTTGCTCCGCTGTGCTGTCTTTGGGTACCACAGGAGTTGGATCTTCCTGGGAGCCACCAAACAGCAACAACAATTAAGGAGAAGCCAGCACACAGCATGCAGACCAGACCTCTATTACCTGCCACCAACTCCCCCTTGGTATCATACTTTTCTTCCTACTTGGCTCCTAGGCAAAGCAGTCAGAGCCCACCAGCTGTTCTCCTGGCAAGAGAAGTGGCCTTCTGTTTCTGTAATGATTCAAATACACCCACTGCCCTACTCTAGTTGATTCTGACTCATAGTATCCCTAGTTTAGGGTCAGGGCTATAAACGTTTAAGAGAGCACATAGCCTCATCTTTCTCCTCTAGAACAGCTGGTGCATTTGAACAAATGACCTTGAGGTTAGCAGTCCAATGTTGACCAAGAACACCCCCGGGGCTGTACCTTGGAAACCATCCTGGGCAGTTCTACTCTGCTCAATAGGGTCACTCTGAGTCAGCAATGGGTTTGAGGGGCCTGAGTCTTGTTTTCTCCACTAGATCTGTAATGAAAAATCCACTTTTTCGGATTTGTTGGAGAGTTCATGATGCTGAAATGTCATGCTGCTTCTTCAATCAAACAAAATATAACCCATGATCAAAGGCAGGCCGAAAACTTGATAACAACTGCTGGAGAGTCTGATCATGCTGATGGATCCTGCCAGGTTCACAGATTTAACATACAGGTACACATGCACACACACGCACCCGGAGAAGGACAGCAGGTTTCGTAAAGTGGAGGGCCAGTGACAAGAGGAAGGCCCTCCGTGAGATGGATCGACCCAGCGGCTGCCTCAACGCTTAAGCATAAGAACAATTGTGACAATGGCGCAGGACAGGGCAGTGTTCCCTTCTGCTGTGCACAAGGTCGCTATGGGTCAGAACACAGAGCTGGTCCCTAACAATGACCGCTATGTAAAGTGAGAGAGCTTTTCGGGTTGTCACAGGCTTTGAAGGCGACTGTTAAGACACTGAGCACAGAATAACGAGGATCCAAGAATGACACCCATTCGTTCTAAAACTAGCCACGTCACTTTTCTTCACCCCTCTGGTGGCCACGCTGAAAACAAACGAAGCAAACATTCTGCAGGGATGAATGCAGGCCCCAGAGGCCTTTCCTAAGGCTTCCATCGACAGGGCCCTCCTTGAGAGGGGTTACCTCATTTCCCACACATTTTGTGACCTATTTTTGTCTGTCTTTTCTCAGAAGGATTTTGCGTGCTCTACTGTGGTATAAGCAGTAAACTAATTATCTTGTTCAAATCCCTTTGTAACGCCCCTAATCCTATTAGTTATAAGAATGTCTGAAGACTGATTGCAAACACCCCCTTGCCCTCCCCTTTCTTTCTCTCTTTTTAAAGAAAGAGAGAGAAAGGGCCAGTCGTTTGTGCTGGAGGGGGGACCCTGTCAGGAGACAACTGGGCCACTGCAAAGGCAAAGTCGGCCATCTGAAAACGCAAACGCCAAAGCCACTTAGCGTGTAGCAAGAAATCTTCTCTCTTGCATCCATCCTGGCATTCTTTTTTTCTGCCTCTGCCTCCTACCCCCTCCCCCCCTCCCCAATATATATTGGAGTTGGTCACCCTCAGTAGCTATCTGAATGGATGATGGAATTCAAACTCTGAGCTCACTACTCACAATCGAGGGAGCTGAAAACGTGCCCCAGCTCAGAGCTCAACTTCTCCTTCCGCCTTTTCTCGGGAATGTTTTAATGAAGAGGATGACCATAGTCCAAGAAGTCAAAGAAGCCATTTAAAGGGAAGGAAATGAACAAACATTACAACAGACCTCAGCCAGCCCTGTGAGTCTTAACTTCTTTGCTTCAAAGAACTCTCTCAAACCTTGTTAAAGGACTCTCTCTCCCTCCCTCTCGGTAGGAGACTCCAAGGCCATTGCCCCCTGCTGTCTGAGACTGAGAGAACTTTAATCACTTTTCCTTTTTTGTTCCCACTGGGGAAGGAGCCAGACTCTGCTGAAAGCCCTGCAGTCAGAGTGGATGTTAAAGAGCATGAAATTTATCTGACTTCCAGAGGAGATGTGCGTTCTCGCCCATTCCTGCTTTTGCCTGCCTGGCTGCTCTGGGGACAGCTAGGCCTACTTAGGGGATTAAAGGGCAAAAAACAACAACAACTAAAAAGAAAAAGCCAGAACAAAACAAATATTTGCTTTAAACATAAAGGCACGATGCAACCTCCAAGAATTTGGTCTTCCTACCGACCCCTTTTTGTCCACCCACAAAGAAGGCAGACATTCTTGGCATATAAGGTTCGCTTTTCTGCATGATCAGAGGCAAGGCCCCATTGAAAGAAAGCATGCCTCCCCCTCAGATTTAGTTCTGACAGCCCATGAATGTAGTTTCGTAGACATGATCTTTTAGAAAATATATGCTAAGAAAACCCTGTCTTTGATATGCTTCAAGGACGGTGCCCAGAGGAATGGTGCACATGGCTTGGCTGAAGATGGAACACCAGCGACATGGCACATTGCAGCTGTTGTAGCTGCGGGTGTTGTTGTGAGGGCCCATCGAGCCCGTGGCTCAGATCCACAGCTGCCCAATGTACACCAGAAGGGAACGCCACCCAGTGCGACACCACCCTCTCAATCGTTCCTGTCGTGAAGCCCACTGAGAAGCGACTGTGTTAACCTATCAGTCATGCATGGAGTCCTCTTTGTCACCGCCCCTCTACTTTACCAAGCATGATGTCCTTCTCCAGCGACTGGTCTCTCCTGGCATCATGTCCAAAGTAGTCAACTAAAAACAGTACAGTACTCAACTGAAACAAACAAAAAGCACTGCCAGCAAGTCCGTTTCACTCCCAGTGCCCCTGTAGGTGGAGCAGAACTGGCCCTGTGTGTTTCTGAGGCTGTAACATGTTACAGAAGCAGCAAACGTCATCTCTGTCTCATGGTTTCCAATGGCTGGCTTGCAGTAAGTGGTCCAACGATGTCCCCAGGGCTCCTGAATTCACTAGTTAAGGAAGCTGAGCCCCAGGCCTCTCTTCTGAGATACCTCTGAGAGAGTTCACAGAGCCAGCCGTGTGGGGGCAGTCACGCTGCTGAACCATTTGTTGGGTTTCTTCTGGATAGTCTCCAGCAAAGGAGAAAGCATCTGCGTGAGTCAGTGTGTGTGTGTGTGTTGTTGGTGCTTGTGAGAGGTGGGAGTATGTGCAAAGGAG